AGGGCTCAAAACGATCTGTCGGGTCGTTACAGGCTATGGCGACATGTGAGCTAATTTGGATCAAACAGTTGCTCAAGGAGTTGAAATTTTGCGAGATTAGTCAGATGGGACTTGTGTGTGATAATCAAGCTGCTCTTCATATTGCATCAAATCCAGTGTTCCATGAGAGAACTAAACACATTGAGATTGACTGTCACTTTGTTAGGGAAAAGATACTCTCGGGAAATATTGCTACAAAGTTTGTGAAGTCGAATGATCAGCTTGCAGATATTTTCACCAAGTCCCTCGCTGGACCTCGTATTAACTACGTATGTAACAAGCTTGGTACATATGATTTATATGCACCAGCTTGAGGGGGAGTGTTAGAATAGTTATGTAAATAGTAGTAAATAACCCTAATCTCATATATATTAGGAGTAGGACATGTTATGTGTGTGTGTGTGTGTGTGTATATATATATATATATATATATATATATATATATATATATATATATATATATATATATATGGCTCATTGTATCATGTTTAACATATGAGAATAATATCAATAATATTTTCTACCGTGCATTCTCACACTATATGTGTGTGAAATGAATTGAACTGATATATGTATAGAGATTTGGGGGGTTTGAAATTAGGGTTTAGGAGAAAAGGGGAAGGAAAATGGGTCCTAGATCGAAGTGAGAGGGGAGAAGAAGGGAGAAAGAGGACTGGAATTGCTTGGTGGGTTTTGGGAATTGGAATTTGGAATTTCAAACGTGGATTATAGCGTCCATTTCTGCAGTTGCTGCCTTCGTCCTTCCAACTTCCAAAAATAGATTTTAGTATATTTTTTGAAGTACTTTGCTTTTTAAATTTTAATTTCTTATCTCATGCATAGTCTTCATAATACAAAATATATACAAAATAGACTGTCACTATACAAAAAATATACTAAATAGATTGTCACTACACAATTTATATACAATAGACTGTCACTATACAAAATATATACAAAATAGACTGTCACTATATAAAAAATATTCAAAATAGACTGTCATTGTATAATTTGTATACAATTGACTGTCACTATGCAAAAAAATACAAATAAACTGTCTCTATACAAAAAATATACAAAATAGACTGTCACTATACAAAAAATATATAAAATAGACATTTCGGGCTATTAGATGTAATATATTTGGGCCGGAGGGCCATTTCGTGTCAATTGGAAAAAAACATGGGCTATTAAAATTTTGAGAGGGTATAGAGGTAGTTTTCTCCGGCATTAATGGGCTACTGAACCACCTTGGGCGTCATAGCCCATATCCGTCTGTCTACAACTTTTCGTTCTTGTTATTTGTTTCTTAATTCTAAGTACTTTTGAAATTGGTTAAGAAAAATGAGAAAAGTAAAAAGAAAAAAGAAGCTGTAATTCCCCATCATAAAGCAAGAATAATATCTATATAGTATTATTAAAATTTATAAAGTATTATTAGCTCACACTCATTACATGCTTAAATGGTACAACGTAATACTTACATGGGGAGTATACAATATGAACCTCTTCTAAATTAAAACTCAAAAAGAGAAAAATTGACATGTACTACTTTTTTTTCCTATAAACTATTTAAAAGGTCAAATGTGACCATATATGCATTTTTATGTGACCATATATGCATAATTACTACAAACTTGTTTGAGTTTAGTGACTTGATACAAGAAACCTAGGCAGACCTACTTTATAACCAAAGTTCTTGACATCCTCTTGGACTTGTTGTCTGAATTCTCTAAACGTAAATCTTCTATAAACAGGAGGCTCAAAACAACTCCGTATTTCAGTATCATAGGATGGACACAAGAAAAATGCAGTTGAGAATCTCTCTTTTGCTTTATTAGTAACAACCCTGTGCTCTACACTTTTATACACACCATTGCTCCAGGCCTACATATATAAGGAAACTTGAGTGAATATTATAACAGAAGATTCCCATAGATTTTATGCAGAAGAGATGGGAATTCTCAGTATGTTTATCTTCATTGCTGAAGAAAGTCTAAATGGGTTACTGATGTCAAAGTATTTGAAAGGAATTTTTTTTGAGTTTAATTAACCTCCAAATCTTACAGTAATTCTTTTTACATCATCATGTTCAAATGACCTACATCAACAATTAGTTCTATATATAATAAGCCTAATTCGGTAATACAACAACTACATCAACGCCTCAATCCCAAACAAGTAGGAGTGAGCTATATAAATCCTCAATTCACCATAATTCTCCATTTAAATTCATCTCAGGCCATCATTATACAGAATATAAAATAAAGAGTACTAAAAGGTCTTTATATTACTACTGCATAAAAATCTCTGATAGAGCTAAAAGGCTTCCTGAAAGAATAAAACCTAAAGTAAACGTAGTACTAACCTAACTAAAGCATATTGCCATGGTCTTATATATGTATAAAATAAAACAAATGACATGTTATAACAAGTTAAAATGCACCGAAATCAAGTAAAATTGATTTGTAATTACCTGAAACAAATCTCCAATGTTGATGATAAGTGCTTGAGGATTGGGCTTAACAGAGATCCATTTGCCATCTCTTACTAACTGCAACCCTCCAATCTCATCTTGGTGCAATATTGTGAGGAAGTCACTATCAGTGTGTGGCATTAATCCAAAGACTTGTGGGGAAATAGGGCATGCTGGATATCTATTCATCCGAAGGTAACAAGTATTTGGCAAACATGTTTCTCTGAAATATTTCGATTTATATCCCATTTTCTCCGACAATATTCTTGCCAATTTATGTGCTAATTCAGACAGAATTGTCGCAAACTGTTCCATTGTGGAGCTGAGTTCATCAAAGGGTTAAAAAGGTAAGGACTTGAATCCAAGGCATTGATTTATCAATATCAAGCAGACAGTCAATGGTGTAATTATATGCACTGATGATGTAATTATTTGTAGTTTAACCTATTATAATATACTAGTATTAATTATCTAGTTACTGATTAATACCCAACATATATAGAGATTACATGTAATTACTTGATAAGTACTGACATGATAACATAAATATTTTTATACCGTTAATATAATATAACTTCAACTCATAATGATTATATGTAGATTTTTTTGGGTGATAGTGTAAAAAATATGTCTCACCATATTTAGGATCTTTTGAGTCAAAGACAACATTCACAGGGGACTTGTCTTTTTACTCTTTTGATTTGATGAATTAGCTCTTTTTCTACCTGGAATGAGGTGAATACATAAATCTCTTCAAGCATTGGATAAGCAGGCATAGAATTAGAGAATATTGAAGAGTCATCTTTTACAGAAATATGTCAATCATTTAATAGAAACAGGTTTAGAAAACGTAACCCACATCTATAAATCAAGAAAGAACTCGGTATGTCTGCCAACTTATAATGGCACTCGTGAGTACTTGGTTCTAAACACCTAAATTAAAATAATGTATATATGTTCTCTAATTTAAGTTGCTAATGCTAATTAAAGTGGTATTCAAATCGATACTTCGAAGATTATAGTTTACACAAATATGATGTATTATGTTCTCTAATTTAAGTTTCTTATTGCTAATAAAAGTGGTACGTAAATCAATTCTCCAAAGATCAATATAGTTAATGCTTATTTCTGGACAAAACGAAAAATCCAAAAGGAGAAGCAACTTCGATCTAAGTAATTACCACAAAGTAACTTAATTAGCCACCACTCAAGACAACTATTAGGAAATGAAAATAAATCTAGTCCAAAAAACTCGTAGAAATGAAAATTTGAATTATTCCATGAACAATGTCTAAGGTAATTCTTAAGCTGCAAATTCGTGTTTGACCACATGAAAATTGTTGTTGTGGTCGTCTGTATATTAATATAATATTATTCAGCCTTTTAAAATTAAATCCCCACCCGCGACCCGACCCGCCTCGCATATTTTTTTTTTAAATTTAAAAATTGAACCCGCCCCGCAACCGAAAAATCTCAAACCCGCACCGCCCACTAACATTCAAACCCGCCCAGCCCCGCACCGCCCCATTGCCATCCCTATGCAGGACAACCTTGAATTTGAAAGGGCCATTGGTCTTTCTCTCCTTAAAACTGACCTACTTATAATAATCATACACTATTTGAATATTATCGTCAATTAATGGTTAACGTCATCACCTGGTCCAACATTATGAGGACAAGAAGTTGAGAACTTAGACATATTTCCCAAAATGCCATAACCATCTACCACAAAAGTTTTTCAATTAATAAACTTCCTAAGATGATTCACATTTCTCTGAGTCGGCAACTCCCAGAATTTCTAAAAGTAGGAAACTACTTATAAAAGAGATGAAGGCTAGTTTAGGATCCAAAATGATGTCAAGTTGGAACCTACTTTTAGAACACATTATTGGAAGCCAACTACTCCCATTATATAACAAGGTATAGTATGTAATGTCTCTTATTTTTTTAACCTGTTTTGAAAATATTTTTTTTAGTCAAGTGTCTCTCGAAAATAACCTATCTACCTCACACAAGGTAGGGATAAGGTCTGCATGGACTCCACCTTCTCCAGACCCCACTAATAAGATCATATTGGGTATATATATGATGTTGTTATTGTTAGTATTACTTGTTACTGTTATCACGGATTAACCTATAATTACCTCATACTCGACGTTCTATACTTCCCTTAGTTATACTCGACCTAATTGTGTAAATAGTTTTTACACCATCGTAAACTTTAAACAATAATACTACAATGAAGCATAATTGTACGGGAAGTACTTGTCTTAGTTTGGTATAACATGTGGTGCTGATGCTGTTTCTATGTTTATTGCACAACTACTCAAAGAGTGCATGCACAAAGTGACACAACCACCTCTCCTTCAGTACACATATAATGCAAAGTGGAAACACAGAAAGAGAGAGAGAGATATCAAAGCTAACAATTTAAATAGTACTTTTAATACCTGAGGCTGCTTAAATAACTTGAATTGGAGATATCAGTGAGAGGAACGTGGAAAGCTTCGGACCAAGAAAGTTGTTGAAGGCAAGTAGCTGAAGGAGTTCCCCAACGGTAACTTCCTTTGGAGAATTTGTGATTCTTTTCATTCATTTTCTCATGGAATGGTTTCTTGAAAAGCTTGATTTGCTCCATTCTCATTTTTGTCAATATATCATTCGAAATTCCGTGGTTCACCACTTGGAAAAAACCCCATTCTTCTGAAGCTTTAGCTATCTTTCTCTTGCACTCTTCCCTCTCAAATTCTTTTCCATTTAATAGCTCAAGATCTATCAATGGCAACTCGCATTCCTCTACAACAAAGAGGTTGTGGTAATTAATGTTTGAAGCCTTTCCGATTCTTATGTCGTCAAAAAGTTTCTTGTATGTCTCCTCAAAAGGAGGATCAGGCGATTCTCCCATACCTAATTTCTGAAAAAGAAAAGGATGATCGATGTTCATTAAGAGCACCTTATTTGTAAATACAGTCAAACCTCTTTATAACAACCTCATTTGTTTCGGATTTTTTTTTCTGTTATAGCATAGCATAAAAATTGGTTCCATAAAGAACTTGGCTTTTATAGTGAATAACTGTTATATAGCAATACTGTTATACAGTGGTGTTACCGTATAGCATCCACTTTTGTTAATTGGCAAATATTAGGGACCAAAAAGAAAAAAGGAGTAGAGAAGATGAACAAGAAGAGGAGGAAGAGGTTTTTCCCCTTTTCTCTTTCTTTTCCAGCTTCTGTGAACTAACATCTGATTCAATATCTTTTTAGGTCATGGCCGGTTTCAATGACCGTGGAGACAAAAAAGATACCTGTCCTCTACGTAGGAAGGAGGACGATGAGGGAGCAGGAAATTAACCTTGTGCAATGAGCAGCGAACAACAGGGACCCATTTAATTACATATCAAAATTAAAGTAGGCATGTTTCTGAAAAATCGGTATATATATATATATATATATATATATATATATTGATTTACATGGTTTTCCACGACACTATAGACTCTTGTGGTTCGGCTCTTCCCTGGATCCCGCGCATAGCGGAAACTTAGGGCACCAGGCTGCCTTTTGTCCACGACCCCTCATGTTTACAAACATGCTTTATTGATCTTGAACTACCTATAGCTAGCCTCTTCCCTTTCTAAAAGTTTTCCTTCCTTTTTTTCACCTGGGATGTTCTGGAGAGTGGAAGGGAGTTAGGTAAGGGTTAATCTTTATATTTGGATTATGAAAAATGTTTAAGCTTTAAATTGCAGCATGATTATCAGTTCGGTAAAAACTTACTTATCTTATTTGGTCATCACGAATAAGTGAGGACTATTCTTCAGTAACCTAGGGTGATCAGGAACTGGTAAATTAAAGTTGCTGCCATGTGACCAGGAGGTTATGGGTTCAAGCCGTGAAAACAATTTCTTGCAAAAATGCATGGTAAGATTGCGTACAATAGACCCTTATGGTCCGGCCCTTTTTCGGACCCCGTACATAGCGGAAGCTTAGTGCACCGGGCTGCCTTTAACTTAGGGTTTGGTGATCGATCAGACCCATCATGATATATTAACTATTAATCACTATAATCGTCTGATGATACATATAATGCTAGCTGTGTAAATCAATTGGAAGGGAGAACCACACAAGCTAGCAGTAGCAGGCTAGTACAGTAGTCAATAATTGTACTTGATTGATACTGCTTCAATATTTGCCTTGTTCATATGTAAAGCCGCCTTGAAGTGTGGCAGAGATTTATTAGACAGATTCATTCTCGTAAGCTAAGAGGTGAAAATACACTACTTATTAGTCATTGTACTTTCATTTTCAATTTATTTGATGCTATGTATCACTGATCAGTCATTGTTTAGTTCGATCAATAATATTCCAAAACATAATTTTTATTTGAATCGAAAAAGTTACTCCTATTATGCAGGTTAATTATTGATGTACCTGCTTGGTCATAGCATACAAGTTTTTCATTGAACGAACTACTCCTATTATTAATTAAAGCTATGACACAATTATTAAAGTCCTATGATCATATATATCGATCTTAACAAGGTAAAAGCTCTCCTCCAGTCTTGCACTGAAATATGGCCAAGAAGCCAATACTTGACCTCATGACTCATGAGCAGCTAGACCATATCAACGTAACACTAATATAACGAATGCTGGCGGATTAAGAAATACACCATCCGTTTCAATTTAGACGAGGAAGTTTGACTCGAACGGAAAAGAAGAACTTTTAAAATTTGTGGTCTTAAAAGCTTAAGGACTAAAAGCTTTGTAGAGCTATGACATTTGTGTGGTTATAAAAACTTATCATTCAAGGTAAAATGGGAAAAATGAAGAGTTTAAAGTTGAATTATTTCCAAATTTAGAAATGTATCATTTATTTTGGAACAGACTAAAAGTAAAAGTACCCCATCTAATTTGAAACGGAGGGAGTATTGTTTTGCAAAATTTACTAGTCTGTCATAAACACAGGTATTCTTCAACAAAAAAAAAAAAAAAATTACTGTTTTAGAGTAAGTCTTCGTTCTTAAAAGAAGTCAGAAATTAAAGGAATTGAGCAGAAGGAGGTGCATCTCATGCTGAAAATTTGGTGTAATCATTTTTCTTACTGACTTACTTGGTTGGCCTGCTGTGAGAGTTTCCTAGACTTCGCCATAACTTTTCTTACAAGGAGCATGTCCTGAGTTTAATGGTACATTTAACCTGTGTAATAAAAGGAATAATCCAAACTATTACTAGTATATATGAACAGATTACAAAATGAAGGGGAAAAAAATAGATAATTAGCTACTTGCATGGTAATGCAGAAAGTGATAATAAGATAAAAGAAAATCGCATGATTATTAAAAAGAGTATAATTCGGACTTTAGGACCACACAAAGGTAATAAAGAGTTTCATCATCTAAGTTGGCAACGCAAGAGTCCAAAACTTTCTTAATAAAGAATTAATTTCATGATCGAAGTTTGTAACAGACGAAGTAATAAAGTTTAGAAAACAAAGACAAGAGGCTGTTCACATACCAGAGTAAGCACCAAGGAAGCAAATATTAGAAATAAAAGAAAATGAAGAAAACTAAGAAGAGTTTGAGAAGATTAAGAAGGTCTTGTTCATGGGTTGGTGGCTAAGCTAGGTTTATTTTGCAGTCCAGAAAGATTGGAGAGGTGGATATTTTTATAGGGAAAAGAAGGACTTAATTGGAAATATCAAGAGTAGGAGGGGCAAACGGGCGGGTCGGGTCGGATATGGTTGGGGTCGAAAACGGTTAATGAAAAAACGGATCAATTATCCGACCCGACCCATATATGATACGGATAAAAAACGGGTTAACCGACGGATAATATGGGTTACCCATATTATCCATGACTTCTTGTATATGATCACTTTTGGGAGAATTCTTAGTCCCCCTAACTTGAGGAACCCCCAATTTGAGGCTTTACAAATGTAAAAGTTAGACCCATTGGTTATCCATTGGTTACTCATTGGTTATCCATTTTCTAAATGGATAATATGGTTCTTATCCATGTTTGACCCGTTCTTAAAATGTTCATTATCCAACCCATTTTTTAGTGGATAATATGGGTGGTTAACTGATTTCTTTGAACAATTTTGTCACCCCTAATCAAGAGTAAAACTATTACTCCTAGTACAAAAAGGAAAAAAAAAATTATTGGCATGTACTAAAGGATTGAATGTTTATGCATAGAACACAAAACACGCGGCTCACAATTCAATCAGAGAAATACTTTTACCTTTTTAGGGAAATGTCTCTTCTTTCCATATCTTGCCATATTACTGTAGGTTGAAAGGGCAATAGGAGTGTTCTTTTGGGGTTTCAACAGGGGGTGGGTAGGAGGGGCAAACCCTTATTATTGTATTTTTTTCCTTTTAACTTTCTTGCTTTGCACATCACTCATATCAAGACGTACAATTATTAATATTCAAGCCAGCTATCATTTACATTTGGCATAATTCAACCAATAATATTACAATAGTTGTAAAAACCGAACTTAAATTTTGTTAGGATTCAACCAATATAAATGTGGTGCTTAAGTTTTTTTGAGCCGAGCGTCTATTGGAAATAGCCTTTTTATCCTTATTATCCTTATAAGGTAGGAATAAAGTCTGCGTACACACTACCCTCCCCAGATGTCAAGGTGTGTGATAATACTAAATATGTTGCTGTTGTTGTCAACCTATATAAATGCAGCACAATATTGTAAAACTTTTTACGTTATCAATGGATCTTAACCTGCTATCATGATCAGAGCTAGCTAGGGAATTCATTTGAATCCATTTTTCCCTAATTATATTTTATATTTAATATCAAATTAATTTTGGGGTTATATATAGTAGTAATAAATTTCGAATCTCCTTAATTTCCTCGTGTGTATATTTTTTATAGTTTGAACCCCTTAGTAAAATTTGTGGTTTCATTTATTAGATAATTTTTTCCATTTTCGTGGTTGCTGATCTTATTTTTTATGAACGATTATATATAATTATCTTTTGCATGATCTAATAGTATTTTTACACCATTGTGCATGAAGTCAATTTACAAAAAAGAAAAAAAAAAGAAAATAAAGCACCAGTTCATATCATTTGGTTCTCATTCTTCCAAGTCTTGCTTCCCTTTATTAATCAATAAATTCATCCCTCACCCTTCGACCTTCTTCGATTCTGATATGTGAGAGGAACAGGGCACATGATAAAATTCTGGAATTGGACCCAAACATGCAACAACTTGAGGGGCAAAACGTAAAAGAAAAAAAAAGTCCACGTAAAATTTTTAGCTAACAGTAGAAACAGCAGTTTTGAATCAATGTCGGCAATCGGCATTGATAAAATAACACGTGGCAGCATATGAGAATTACAAATCACATGATCAGTTTGAAATCCATGTCGACAACCAGTGCTAGGGAATTGGTTGCAGGCTGAGAAATTAAGGACTTCCATGTGCACTGCTTTGATGAAAAAGGATATAAGTACATATACTGAAACATTATTTATTAAATGTACCATCCCCCCTATAAAGGTCTCTCTTTACATTTATAACATCTCAATTTTTATGACCTAATTTTTTCTCACAATTTCAATGGCTACTTTTTCTCACGGTACAAGATCGATAATTTACTCATCACTTTCTTAATATGGTTACTTTGGTTCCATGTTGTGTCTTAGGGATTTTTTTTAATACGATTCACTAGCTATTGTTCATAATTTTGCTATTAGTGATACACGAGAAATCTTTTTATGATGGTTTTTCCTTTTAATTATCGGTATAGCACTGACGTGGCTAAGGCCTTCGGAAAGGTCAAAATAGCACGGTATAGCCAGTTTTCGTACTAGTCACTGAAAAATAGTCAGCGTTTACCGAGTCAATGAAAAATAGCCACTATTTTGCTGCAACAGAGACCGGTCCAGCATAATATACTGGAGTTCGGTGCACCTGTGTATGAACTCCAGCATATTATGCTGCACCGGTATACTTTGCTGGCTCCATGTATAATATACTGGAGACTGGAGCACCGGTGCTCCAAACTCCAGTATATTATGCTGGACCGGTATACTTGCTGGAACTCCAGTATATTATGCTGGAGTTCTAGTGTACATGCTGGAACTCCATCATATTATACTGGAGTTCCAGCATACTTATCCTGGAACTCCAGTATAATATGCTGGAGTTCAAGTATACTTATGCTGGAACTCCAGCATAATATACTGGCGTATTTTTTCGGGTTTTGAATAGTATTTTCGCTCAAATTTATCTTTACATGAAAAGTGGCTAAATTTCGATTACTTTTAAAACTGGGCTATTTTTAAACGACCAGTTGTAAATCTGGCTATTTTTGAATTTCACCCAACGGAAAGTCATTATCATATGTTGTGCGTGAAATTCAATTTCGATAATCTGACCCGAATTTAAGTGATAATTACTTTCGAGAAAAAAAATTCGAAAATCAGATTCTGATTGTGAGGTAATGTTTCTAACTAGTCGTAACACAATATACGTGTATTTTGTTCTAGATTAACTAATTGTAACGTGTAATTTCAACTTTAGATGGTCGCCTAGAAAACCGAATTAGGTTTCTTCTAGCCTGTTGAGCCTACTCTCACCTCTTAGCTCTAGGCCTTCTCTCTCTACACTAAGGCCCCGTTTGGCCATGAGTTTTGCTAAAATAAATTTGGGATTTATTTTCAAAACTCATGTTTGGCCATAAATTTTGCCCATATTTTGGCCAAATCCCAAATCCCAAATTAAAATCCCAAAATCAGCTATTGAGCTGATTTTGGGCCCAAATCTCAAAACTTGGGAATTATATACATGTT